CACTACTTTATATTTAAACCATTCCCATTTACTGACATTAGTCATGCTCATATTGTTAATTTCTGATTTAAGTTCTTTAACTTGTTTACAGAAGTCTTCGTTTTGTAATAAACTATTGTTAAATTTCCATATGTTGTCAGATCTTTGTTGTTTACGTAGAGATAATAAGAGACTTATCAGACAATGATCAGTAAGTGGGGTTGACTGGGTCTCACATTTCGTAACATATGATGATACTGTTTGGGAGACAAGCCAATAATCTAATCTTGAACATACGTTTTATTTGATGGACTAAACCAAGTATATTTCTTCGTATTTGGGTTTGTCATCCTCCAATAATCGATCATATTAGTTGTCGTACAAAAGTCACAAATAATGCTATCGTGTTCTGGTTGATTTCCTCTTTGTGGTTGTCTGTCAAGCCATGAGTTAGGAGCCAGGTTAAAATCGCCTCCAGTTATTACCTGGGTAGAGCCATATGTAGTACTCCAATTTGCAATTAATTTACTTAAGTTAGACATCATATTTCTATTTAGAGACCTGTTATTGTATCCATACACGTTAATAAGAATAATTTTCTGTTACAGACTTCTACCAACACCATGATCCAATGCCCCATTCCGTCGCTTTTATGATCAATAACTCTCCCTGCAAATTTGTTGAATAAGATCATAACTCCTGCTGAGTGAGTAGTACCATGTGAATAAAGAATACTATCTCCCCATTGATGTTTCCAAAATGTTTCCTCTTCCTTACCAGAATGTGTTTCTTGTAAAAACAAAATGTTTGCCTTAATTTCCTTGCAGAATAAAAACATGGCCTTACGTTTGACATTGTTTTTTAAGCCTCGAACATTTAAGGAACTAATAGAACAGCCATCTATAAGATAAAGAAAAAACAAAAACAAAAACGCAAGAACAAAATACAAAACAAGAGACAGTAACGGCTTCCTTGGCACTTACTAGAAGAAAAAAAAGTGCTTGAAGCAGGAATAAGCCTAGTGTCCTACCTATGTAATCATAACAGTACTCCGACCCTATCACAGTACTACCCCTTTATATATGCGGCAATTTTAGCTCTGTCATAGCTCACATTTAACTACGACTTTGCTTTTTGACCCTCTCCTATTGTTTATTTGTGTATTTTTAACAGATATGTATATATAAACATATATATACACACACATACATACCCACATTTTTTGGTTAACTTGTAGTGACTTCTTCAAGTGCATCTCACAGATCGATCCTTTTACCGTCTATTATTGCATAACCCTCCTTTAGGAATGCTCTTTTGCCGTTGTTTCGAGCTTCCTGCACCTTGGGCCACAGCTTGATCCGAGCTTCACGGTCTTCTTTGGAGAAGTCTTCTTTAAATTTTATGTTCAGTTCTTTGCAGACCCTGGCCTCTTGGATTTCCTCCATACTTCATCCCTTGCCGTCCTCATGCTGAACTGTATGATGATTGGTCTTGGCACCTTGTTGCTCACTGCATTGTCTTTCTTCCCCAGTCGGTGTACTGTATCAACCATGAGCTGCAGTTTTTCCACTGATACAGGAACCACTCTTGTTAGAATGCCGATCACTGTTTCACGTGTATTCTCGTTGTCCTTCTCTGTCAGACCCAAAATTCTGAGGTCCCATCTTCTGCGGTAACGTGCACTCTCCAGACAGCTCTCCTTTAATTCTTTGTTTTCCTTCATCAGCGACTCCACCTTCGTCTCAGCTTGTCAATTTCCTCTGTTTTTTTGGGTCGCCTGTGTATTTACTTCAATGCGTTGTTCGAAGGCTTCCAACTTCTTTTCAAGCGAATCAAACCTTTCCTCGCATCTCTTTGTGAAGCCAAGTAAAACTTCATATACATTCTCGATGCTCACCTGGTTCTCACTAGTTTTGCTTTTCATTTTTTTGGGATTGGGACTTGGTAACAGAGTGTGGTCACCTATGGGTCTTCCGATCTCTTTCTGAAGTTCCATCTCTTCTATATCTTCATCCTCACATGCTTCCCGCATAGCAGCAAGGTTGTAATCATGGTCGGAGAGGCTACCTGTTAGCTTGGGGTTAGCCATTTTTATCGCTCTAAGTTTATCTTTGTGTCTGCCTGAAGGTCTGTCAAAGTAACTTCCAGGGGGTTTCGCTTGCGTTCTACTTCCTTTGGAGTAACAGTTTGTCAGTAAAGTATTTTACAGGACATCAAAATCACGTTTCTTAATCAGACCCGCAGATTGTACAACCGCTTATTCCGCCATCTTTCTCTCCCTCTCGGGTAGTGACACCTGATTCAAACGGATATAAGGAAGTGAATCATCCACGGGATTCGTGGAGTGTGTTGATGGTGACAGAGAGAGAAGAGGTGATCATTCCACTGACAGATATGGAGCCAGCGAGGAAAAGAGGACGTTCTGGCGTGTGGGAATATTTTGAGTTGATTTTGCTCAATTCATTTTATCTGCCGAAGTGAAAAACCTGAAATGTCCAAAATCATGTTTTCATAATGGAAATGCCATTACAGCATATGACTTTAAGGACACTTCCAATGTGAATTAAAGCTAATGAAGACTACAAAAATGTATTTGACACTATACGTAAATGACATTGCTACAGTTTAGAAAATCATTTTGTTTATTGGTTTTAGGTGATAGTCTGCAGGACCCAGGAATACCTGCATATCTACCAGCTTGCAGTGTGGTTCCTGCACTCCACAGCCTCTTCTGTTCCATGCAAGTGGATTTTCTCCAAGGCAGGAGAAACTATTTCTAAGAAAAGAAACCGACTCAGCCAGCACACAGTAACACTAATCCTCTTTTTAACTGTAAATAACAAAAGGGCTACCTGACATAGATCATGTTTTTACTTTGCAAGTTCTTGATTAG